AAAATCCAAATGCCTAGGAAAGTGACTTCTGCTCTAGGAGCTGTCATGAAGGTCACACCCAACCACAACATAGTGCTTCCTCTAGGACCTTCATACTCTCGCCAAAGCCGCCTCCTGGAACTACATTTGAAGCTTTCAGACTCTAGACCTGACCCCATAGCCATGAATAATAATGATAATAATAATAATAATAATAATAGGCCTCCCATTATTTGCCTGTTACAGTGCTTCTGCCTCTTACACACTTTGTGACTTTGAACAAATGCCTTAACCTCTCTATGCCTCTGCTGCCTCATCTATGAGTTAAAATATGTAGTCTGCTTCTTAGAACAGGGCCCTGCACACGTAAGTACCAAGAATTAGCCACAAGAGTGACAATGGCAAAGCACTTCTATGTCCATTTTCTCATTGATTCTTTGCTCACTTACTAATATCCCCACTTAAGGGGTAAGGAAGTAGAGGTCCAGAGAGGTAGGGTGACTCACCTGAGGTCACACAGTGAAGCAGTAGCAAGGCCTCAGGTACTTGATGTTCTTTCCAAAGGCTCATGAGGCTCTGGTCTGGAAAAAGCCTGCCCTGGAGCAGGGTGGAACACAGGGGCCTTTCTGAGCCCTCTTTCCATGGGCCTGGGGCTGCAGGGGCCTCCTGCCAGCCAGCCAAGTCTGTTCCACCCAACGTGCCAGCAAGGGAACACAGACAGCCAGGCCCTGCTCTGGCCACTGCCTGCTGGGTGTGTCCGCCCACCCGGGCAGGGACCAGCTGCTCCTGGGGCCAGAGGCTGGAGCCAGGCTCCTGTCACTCCAAGGAACTCTCGCCTTCCTGGCCCGTCTCTGCAGCCAGCTAGGAACAGTCAGGGATTTTCCTGAACTTTCCCTCTGTTACAAAAAATTACATAAATATTTACCTTTTAAAAATAACAGCTTACTTATTGGGCGCTCCTCTTCCAGGCACTGCTCCCACAACTCTGTCCATTGTCTCATTTCATCCTCACTCCTCTCTGTGAGGTACTTAACTCTCACTCCCGTTTCACAAGTGAGGAAACTGAGGCATGGGGGCTGAAGTCTCCTGCCTTAGAGCCCATGGCTGGGTGGTATTGAGCTGAGATTTGGCCCAGACATTCTTGGACTGCCTGCCTCATGCCCAGACTCCTAGGACCCATGGATGCCTGGAATGGCCTCTGCTTTTTAACATGGGCTGCCTTGGTTCCGACGACTAAAGGGAAGCACGTGGCCAGTAGGAGAAGGGAGAGTAAGGTGATGTGACCAGGAGGAGCAGTTGGCCTGCCTCGTATTAATGGCTCTGGTAGAGGTGGTGCACCCAATGCAAAGACATGGCCTATACAAGGATTGTGGTTTGGTTCCCCAATTGGGGGTCTCAGTTTTCTCCTCTGTAAAGTTGTGGAGTGATTCCTGTCCTGCCCCATTGTGGGGTGCTGGGGCACCATCCAGCGAGGAAACGAATGTCCCCCACTGGCCTAAGTCAAATGCTGGCATGTGGCCACACTAGATTGGAGCTCAAAACCAGACTCTTTAGCGGCCTTGCGCAGCCCACAGGGTGAATATTTATCCATATAATACTTTGTAAATCCTTAATAGGTATCACATGCTCATGGCTAAAAACAAAACAAAACAAAACAAAACAACTATGCTGTGCTCCCTCCCAGTTTGAAGACTGTCCCACTAGTACATGAAGACCTTCCTCACTACTCTGTATGTGGAATTACCCAAATGCATTTCCCTCACCCCATCAGAAGGCCATTTAGGGGATCTCCAGTCTTTCGATGTGGCCAAGGAGACTGCAGTTAACCACCCATGGCAGATGACTCTGGGCCTGGCTGGGTCAGAGGGCACATGTGGTTTTTTGTTTGGGTTCATATTGTCATAAAGCGCTCCAAAGAGATTGTACCAGCACATTCCCCACATCCCTAGGTAGACTGGGGACCTTTTTCCCTACACTTTTGCTGTCAAAGTAGATGTAGTGCACAGAACCCATACCAGCTCTGTGCCAAGAAAATCAAATGGGTGTTTCCCCTAAGGAAGCCTGCACAGACTGGGCCTGTACCTCTCACCATTGATGTGACCTCAGGCTGTGAGTTTTAGGTCTCTGGGCCCCCGTTTCATCATCCAGGGTGATAAATGGTACCCATCCCGGAGGCTATTAGGAGGATGAAGTTTGTAGGTGCAAAGCATTCATTAGGGCAGTGCCTGGCGCACAGCACCCAGCGCAGCCTGACTGCCATTTCTTGTTAGCCTGACCTCAGCCCTCCGGGGTTGGTGCTTGGTCCAGATTTGTTGTGCATTTGAAGACATTAGGGATGGGAAGAGGTTATGGAGAGCCATCAAGGGAAGAAGCAGGATGAGTTTATCCCAGCTTCCTGATGTATTGATGGGGATACTGAGGCTTAGGAGCCCAGACTTGAAGTGATTCTGAGCTCAGGAGCCTTTTATTGGTAAGTATCTGCCAGGAAGCAGTGCCAAATGCAGAAGCCCCAGGGTGGCCTGGACCACTGCAGGAACCCAGCTCTGATGTGAAGGGCTCAGGGAAACATGGCCAGAGCCTGGTCCTAGAGGTCCCCACCCAGAACAGCACCTGTGACCCGCTCGCAGAGCCTGACCCCCAGCGGGATGGGAGCCTCTAAGGGCTGAGCTCTTGCTCTGCTGGGTATGGTTCAGAGCGACCTCTCCCGGGAGCCCATTTATACTGCAGAACCCCGGGCCCTACAAACCCCACTGAAGCAGTAGGCATTTACTGTGATGATCATGCAGTGTGAGAAATGCTGAACTCCAGCCAGGAAGATAACCCAGTTGCTGTGGTGGACAGGACAGTCCTTAACTCTCCATCTTTGCAGCCCTCCCCAGCATTGGGGAAGACCTGCTTTGTCCCAGATATAAACAGCTCCCTGGGAGAGTGCAAGACTTTCCCTGGCCCCCAGGGGCAAGACCAGGGTGCTACTGGAAGTTTCTACCCTTCATCGGGCACATTTGTCTCATTGTCTCACAATAACCCTGAAAGTCTGGCATTAACAAGAACAGTTTCAACGAAGGAATATTAAGTTCAGAGATGTTAAATGGATTGCCCAAAACCACCCAGGAGAGTGTGCAGAGCTGGTTTGGGACCCAGAGCTGTGTGACATCAGGGCTGTAGGCATTTAATCAGGTGGGATTGGGAGTGGAGCAGATGATGACTCCCCTACACTCAAACCATATTGCCAGACTCCTACAAGTCCTCTCAGTGAGCTGGCCTGCCCATGGTGAACCTGACATCCCTCTGGAACAGACTGCCATCCTCTTTGCCATCACCAACACCACAGAACCAGCCAGGAGGGATTCTTCTGCAACTTTCCAGAACAAGGCAGCTCTGGGGTCAGGCTGAGTTAGCTGTGTGCAGCTGGAAGAGGCTCTCTCCCCCAGATGCTGAGTGACTAGAAGCCAGCAGGGAGGGTGTTCTGGAAGGGTCTGCGCAGCTGGAGGTGAGGCCTGAGGGCCTGGGCCTGGGAAGGGGGAATTTGCCTTTAGCTGCAGGCACTGAAAACCAGTACACGGAAGAGAGGCAGAAAGGCTTTTAGTCACCCTGAGAAAAAAACAGGAGTGCTGCTTGAAACAGCCGGACGCTGGGCTCAGACAGCTGCCCTTGCCTCATTTTTACTCATAAGCACCTCCACATTTCACGGCTGTGTGGAAGACAGGAAGTCAGCCAGGATGAGGCGGCAGCTGAAAACCAAAGGCAAATATTTTCCGTCCTGAGGAAAGGCTCCCCAGGCTGCCTCCGGACCGGCCTGCAGAGCAGCGGCTGGAGGTTCACTTCCCCCAAAGGTCAGTGCTTCTGGTCACCAGGCTACGTGTCTCGGGGGCTGGCCAGGATCCACCCTACCCAGGGTGAGCAGGGGGCAGCGGATTATCCATCCAAGCCACGGCAGTGGGGGCAGCAAGAGAGCCAGGAGCACACAGTGGTCCCAACAGGTCATCAGGCAGGAGCCACCCCCCCCACCCCCCAAGCAGTCTTCAGGTGGAGACCCATTTACTGTCAAAATAGCTGCCTGTTAGCCTGGGTTGGGGGAGGGGATATAACCACTCAAAGCCGCCAGGCCCTACAGATTTGTAATTTATTCATCACAGCAATAGCTATACACATTTGAAGAGTAGCGGTGTGAGATGAATAAATGAGGCCCGCGTGGACTTGAGGTCTCACTACAATAATTCCGCAGCCCCAGGAGCCCAACCCCCCACCTGGGACCCCTCAACAGGGGGCGTGGCACTTTGGGTAACTGGATCATTGGGAGGAAGTGGGGTGGGGGGTGGCGGGCACTGTGACTTCTCTCTCCAGTTTACCACCACAAGGAACCCTGCCCTTTTTTCTCCCAAGAAAACCAGTTATCTAAAATTTCCAAAGGAGCAAACCAGGACCTCATTTTCATCCCTCTGTATCATGTGCCCTCAAGCTCCCGGGCACCTCCCTGATGTCCAGTGGCCTGGAAGCAAAGCAAACAAGCTTGCGGCCCTGCCCACAGCAGCAGGCCCTGAGGACTAGAAAGGGCCCCTTCCTCCTCTCGAGCTCAGTTTCCATGTCTCTGAAATGAGAGGTGATATCAGCTCCCAGAAGGGCAGTTTGAGAGTTAGAAGTAAAAATCAGTCAAGGCACCGTGGCCATAGGAGGGGCCAGAGCATAGTGTTTGCTTGCTGTTGCTGCTATCATATATTTTTGAGTTTGAGCAATACCCAGAGAACTTTCTAGATCTGAGGGAGGCCCCAGGCCCCATGTCAAGGCTGGCTAGGGGGTTGGGGGAAGCCCCTTGAAAGCCACACTCAGCCTGCCAATTGTTGCATGTTCCTGAAGCCCTCTCTCTCCTCCCTCCTGGACCTGCCTTGCCTTTAGGGCAAAATGGCCCCCCAAGTTCCAGCCACTGGCCCAAGGCTGTCATCAGCCAAGCCTAGCTGTCTTCACATTGTATTCCACACAAATTTTCACACACCCCCCCCCCACCCCGCAGCTGGCCAGGCTTCTTACCTCTCTTTGGAAATACTGGCTAAAGGCTGCTCTCTTGGGGTGGGGACCCAGCCCTCTCCCTCCCAAGTCCCTTTTCCTTCAGCTAAGCTGGGGAGAGAAACCCTGCTCTGGTTGGCAAACAGGCTGTGTTCTTTTCCTGCCGCGAAGCCAGGCAGCTCCTTGCCCCTGGAATGCCCTGTTCTTTCTTCCCAGCCCCTCACTTCCTCTGGTTTTTCCCATTTGTGTTACAGGTTGTCTCTTACCCCCACCCAGTTCGGGAGGGAGGTGTTCTTAGGGGCCCTATGCCTGTGGCTCTCCAGGATTGGGCACTGAGCAGAGTCTGGAAAATGTCAAGTGACTGATCCAGTCAGAGCCTCCAGGGGGTTTCTGGGCTCCGGCAGCTCCTCTGCCGCCCCCCTCCCCTCCTTTGGGGGAAGGAGAGACTGGTGTTTGGGTGGGTGGCCTCTTGGAGAACAGAGGTAAATGGGAGTGGACATGAACTTCCTGCTGCCTCATTCCCCTGAGCCGGAGGGAGGGGTCTGAGCTGCTGGGTCTGTTCGGGGAGGGAGGGACGGCGGTGGGCCCGAAGGAGGTGAGCCGGAGCGGAGAAGAGGCTGGGGAGAAAGCCGTCCCCCTCCCCCGTGCGCTCCTGGCACGGGCACGGGTGGGGTCTGCCTCGGAGTTGTTGGTGTGCAAGACTGCTGCCTTTTAAATGGTGTGTTTGTTTGGAGCGGCTCAGGGAGGAGGCTGGAGATGGGGGGAGGCAGCGCCCCACTTGGCGCCGCCGCTGCCGGAGGGTCCGTGTGTTAGAAGCTCCAGCTTCATAGATGATTGAAGAAGGCTGGGCGTTGAGGAGAGAAGGGCGAAAGCCAAAGGGGAACTCGGCGCCCCGGGCGGGCCACCCCTGTTTGCAGAGGGGGAGCCGAAGCCGCCTCTTGCAGCCACTCTGCGAGCTGGGAGGAAGGCGCGGGGACGAGAGCGCCGGGATCCCCGCCCCCACCCCACCCGGTTCCAATATTTCGCAGAAAGGCACGCGGCTCCTAATCGGTCCTTTCCAGGCTGAGATTTAGCCGCGCGATGCCCGCGCAGGGGCGGGGGCCGCGGGCCGGGGGAGGCGCTCAGAGTCCGGAGCTGCCGAGCGAGGTGAGGAGCCCGCGTCCTCGGCTGGCGGAGCGGGCGGGCGGGCGCGCAAACCCGAGAGGCAGATATAGAAAGGGGGGCAGGTTAAAAATAACCCTCTCCGGCTGGGAAGCTCGCGCGCGCTCTCTCGCCTCGTTCGGTGCCAGAGGACTCCAGGGGAGGTGGCGTTGGGGAGGGCAGAGCGGGATTCCCCCTCCTCCGCGGGGCGGGGTGTCCGCTCGCGCGCCGCGGCTGCACGTGTGCGGGGCCGAGCGCCCGAGCCCCCTGCACCCGGCCGGGGGGCGCCCCCTCCCCGGGACCGGGCGCAGCTGGCCGCGGCCCCCGCCCGCAGCCCCGCGCGGCTGGAGGGAAGCGCTCCATTATTCATTATTTACGAGCGTTAATAGGTTGGAGGCGCGGAGGTGGGGGAGCGGGGGCACAGGCGCTTTGGGGACGGAGGCTTTAGGGGGCGAGGTGGAGAAGGCAGGGGCGCCGCTGCGGCGCGAGCGGCGGGGGCACGCTCGGGGCGCGCTGCTCGGCCCGCTCCCTCCCCGCCGCGGGGTGCTGGGGCCGCGCGGGGCGAGGGGAGGGGAGCGCGGGCCTTTGATTTCGCCTCTCGGCCTCTGTCCTTCGCGTCCTCGCCCTTCCCGAGGCGCGGAGAGGGGGCTGCGGGCCGCGCGCCCCGCCCTGCGCGCCCCTCGCGGCCGGCGCCGCGTCCCCGACGCAGCCCGGGCCTCATTTATCATCATCTTTGGTCAAGTGGAGTGTGCAAGGAACAGCTGCTTCACTCGGCTGACTTCCGAGGGCGGCTACAGCGGGAATCAGGGAGATGAATGATGGGGGCCGAGGGGGGGCTCAGCCCCCGGGGTCCCAGCGCAGGCAGGAGGGAGGCGAGGAGCGTCCAGCGCCGCCTCCGCCTCGTGGCGAGTGTAGCGCCCCCTTCCTGTCTCCCGGCGCCTCCAATTACCTCAGATCGCGCCCAGGGAGGGCGCCCCGGGAGGGGGTCGGGGCGGGGAGGCGCCCCTGGCGGGCGGAGGCTGGGCGGGCGCGTCGCCGGCGGGGCCCGAGGTCGCCGTGACCTTGCTGGGGTCAGCGGGCTGGGCCGCAGAGGAGGCGGCGCGGCGTCTTTGGTGGCGCTTTCCGGATTGGCGCAGAGGCCGGGAAACGAGGCGGGGGCCGGCGGGGGCGTCAGGGAAGGGGGGGAGCACAAATAGAAGGTGAAATTTTACCTGCCCCTGAGGGAGTCCTGCGGATTTTCTCCCGGCAGCAGCAGGCGCGCTGCCTTTGTCTTACACGGCTGAAACATCTGTTGCAGTGGGGCGGGGAGGCCGCAAGCAGCCCCCGCGCACCCCGCGCGGCTCCCCCAGCCCCAGCTTGGCCCTCGCGGGCTCCAGGGCTCGCGGCGCCGCGTTAACCCTGCCCGTGCCGGGGCGCACGCCTGACAGCCCCCTGCCGCAGGACGCGCCCGGCGTGCGGCCGCCGCTCCCGGCCCCGGAGCCGCCTGCGCGGGGGCGCGCGGGGGCCCTGCCCCGCTCCCAGAGGGTGCGGCGGGAGCCACCCGGGAGCCGCGGCGGCGGAGGAAAGGGTTAATGGCCCAGTCGCAGACCCTAATTGTCAGACCTGGGCCTCGCTTCGTTTCAATTACCCTAAGTAGAGACTGAATGCGCAATTAACGAAGTCAGCTTGCCAACTGGAAAGCTGTCCCCGCTTTCACATTGAGCAGAATACTCCACCAGCTGACTTGGACTAAGCAATTTCCTCCTCTCGCTCCCTTTCTCTCTCTCTCTTCCAACCCCCTCCCTCTTTTTCTCTCTCCTTAATAATAAAATTATACCAAGCAGTTTGCGGTGTGGCAGGCGGCCAGAAAAGCGTTTCTTTAAACGCCGCCGTCTCACAATTAGGCAGCAAGAGGATTTGACACGCCGTGGCGGCCTGACAGGCGGCTTCCTCCCCTGGGGACTTGGGGGGAGGGAGGGGCGCCAATTCCCCGGCTCCCCCAGGTGGAACGCGCTGGGAGGGGCTGGCTTGCTGCTGGCGTCCCTGGCTGTCAGGATGCTGCACAGAGGGGGTGTCGAAGGCAGGGGAGTGAGGGGTGGTTCCTGGCCAGACAAGGGAAGGGCAACGTTCCCTGACCCTGCCCTTAATCTGGTGTCCAGGAGGAGGACCTTGTCCCTTCCTCTTTTTGGCCACCGGCTCTTGAGTTCATTTTCTGGTTGACAGACAAGCACGCTGAGGCACAGAGGTGTAGGTGTAGGCACTGTGTGTAGCAGGTGTGCCCTGCTGGACCTCCTGGGCAAGGCACTGACCCTCTCTAGGTTTCTGTTAATACCTCTGCAAAATGAGGGGGAGGTTTGACCTAGAATATGCTCTGCAGAAGGTGGCTCTAGCAGCTCACTGCTAGCAGCTGGCCTTGGTGGTGAGGGGGCTGCGTGCAGCACCGTATCTGAAACAAGCTGGGAGCCACTCCGGCTTGGGCCACAGACTGGTTGGTCCCCAAGGCACAGAGGAGAGTGCCCCCTCACTCCCATCTCCCCAGTAGTGATGCCATCAGCTCATAAATGGGGTGACTTTGCAGGATTGCTGATATTGATGTCATGAGGACAGAGGGATTGGACCATTGGTTGCAGCAGCTAGGTCACCTGAGGTGGGGGAGGGGAGCTACTGCACTTACCCACCTTGCTCTGTCCTGTCTCCCAACCTCACCTGGCTCCTTCTTCCCACTGGCAGGCTCTCAGTCTTCCTCAGGAAGTTCAGTCCTACCCCAGCCACCCCTGCTCCCCACCCCAACAATCTCCTGGGCATCAGACCCTGACTGTTGTCTGTAGGAATTGTGCTGCTTTTTTCCTCTGTAGCCTCAGCACCCAGCTTGGCATCCCCCCACCCAGATCAGAAATGGGCTCTACAAGTGAGTGGGTGCAGGCACTTGAGGACTGTGACCCAGGGGACTGTGTCAGAGCAGGAGCTTCGTCTTTTCTTCCTGATTGGCTATTGCATGGGTCCTGGCCTCCAGGCCTGTTGTCTCTCTGGGTGGCATCCTGTAGGGCTGTGGTGAGGGTTTAATAATGCACACAACCCAGAGGGCCCCCTCACCCATCCTATCTGTCCAGCTATCCAGGCAATACTTAACAGGCATCTAACAGGCATCTTGACAGGCCAGTTTCTGGACTTAGAGCTTTGGACCAAACAGATGAAGCCCCTGCCCTCATCAGGCTACCTTCTGGTGAGGCAGCCTATGCAAAACAGCTCATTAAGCAATTAATTATGTAATTACCACTGTGAGGTGTGCTATTAGGGAGCTCTGCAGGAACCCAGCACAGTGAAGGGCAGCAGGGAGCTTTTTGATTCTGTGGGCCTTGGGCCTCCCAGCCTGGACAGCTCCCCTACCTCTCTGACCCTCCTATCCAAGTCTGAGCTTCTCCTCCTACAAAGCCAGGCTGCTCAGGCTGGCCCTGCCCTTCTGCTCCACTTCAGAGCTGAACTGGTTCCTGCTGGCCTCAGGGCATCTCCCATGGTTAGGGAAGGTTCTGGGAGCTCCTGTTCTCATTCCTTCACCTTGAGCCCTTGCCAAGTGTCATGGAGAACCCACCAGGTGTCCCAGTTCCCTACCCAACAAGGGCTGCCTTTGCCCCTGCAAAGTTCCATCTGCACATCAGTTACATCAGCATTTGACACCTGGGAGCTTGTGATCAAGTGCAGCCCACAGATGGGTACTCTTGAACTCTGGGGTGTTAAACTTTTTACTTGTTTAATAACATTTTTTTAGGGCCTCCCCGGTGGCGCAGTGGTTGAGCGCTGGGTTGCGAAGCTGCCCGCGGCCTCTGCAGTGCCAGTTCGATCCCCAGCTGCCGGGCGAGGGTCCCACGTGGCGCGCGCAGACCTCTCCTGCCACCCTCTGCTCCCCTCAGCAGTGTACTTCCGTCCTTCTGCCTGTTCTGCTCCCCGCTCTGGCTCTGGTGGATTCTCTCGCCCTCCTGCGCTTCTGACTGTACACAGTGCTTGTATAAAAAAATAAATAAATCTAAAAAAAGAAAGAAAGAAAGAAGAAAAAAAAAACCATTTTTTTAAATTAGTGATTTCCTTTTTTTTGCTAAAAACTCTGGTGCCCTGAGCCCTCATTCCCACAAGGATGCATTGTACTCAAGCTAAGTGGGGCCCTTTTGCTTAATTTGGGATCGGGTCCCCAGTTTGCCTCTATCCCCACCTGTCCACTTCATTCAACTGTCCTACACGCCTGGGCCTGAGGGAGATGTTCTTTGACTATGAATGAGGAGTGGCAGCAAGCCCCTCCACCCCCACCCCACCCCCATCCCCACTTCAGTGTGCTCTGCACCTCCCCCCAACTGCTTGTTCTGGATATTTTCATAGGATTAATGTGACACTTTACACGTTACTCATTCAACAATATTGTCCTGGGAGATGGGGATCTCGCTATGAACAAAACAGGCAAAAATCCCTGCTCTCCTGGAACTTTTGTCCTAAAGAGGGGAGACCAATAATAAAGCCTGCAGCCAGCTGTATGACTTGCTGCGAGGAGGTAAGCACTTTGAAGACGTAGGGGCCAGGGGAGTGCAAGGGAGGAGTGCTGTTTCAGAGTTT